AAAAGGTGTTTCGCATAGCGATGGTTTCACATAGCGATGTTTTTTTTGGAACGAATTAACATCGCTATGTGAGGCACCACTGTATTCCCTTTCTGCTGCTCAGGCACCAATTCACATTAGGCAGTGTGGAGGAAAGATGCTATGTTGCTTTCAGGTTAGCCACTGCATTCTGGATTTCCCCCCTTTTGAATTTTAATCTGCCCATATCTTTGCATTGCACTATTAAGGCTGTTTGTGTCAGAGTGAAGGTAGATGAATGAATAGGCTTGTTCTTCTGCTACTTTGACTGGGTAGGTCACAATAGTGCTGGGGCATATTCCCTTCCCTTCCTTGTTGGTGCTTTGCAAATAAATGCTGATGTCTACCGTTCTATTACAGTGGGGTCTTGACTTAAGAATGGCCCGAGTTAAGAACATTTTGACTTAAGAACCACTCTCATAGGAAAATATTGACTTAAGTACTTAGATTTAAGAACTGAAAAAAACCCACGTGGGAGGCAGGGAAAGTGCAAAATTTGAACTTTCGGTTAACTGTTGGCCAGTGAAAAGGGTGCCTGTCTGCTTCCTCACTCCTCCCAGCGTTTAGAGAATGGATTGGGAGACAGTCTTCGGACTGCCTGGTACTGTATTTTCCCTGCCTTCCCTGAACCTTTCCTGACCTAAGAAAAAAAGAAAGAAAATATCCTCCTCTCGTGGTCAAAGGCGGAATAGCAGCTTCCCATTAGTTTCTATGGACGGAAAAGAGCAGATACGGATCAAATGGTTTTCAATGCATTCCTATGGGACATGCAGATTTGACCTGAGAACTTTTTGACTTGAGAACCGCCTTCCAATACAGATTAAGTTCTCAAGTCAAGACCCCACTGTAATGTGCTGGCAGAAGTATGTCTCAATTCAAACCAGCCTTTTCATTCATGTTAGACCTTTGGTGCATTTGGCCATTACCAGGAATGAAATCCGTGTGATAGGTTGCCTGGATTTATTTCTGAAAGCCAGGGTACTGACTGGGAGAATTAACTACATAGCACAGCTATCACTGGATTTGGCATTTAGAGCAGCCTGACAGGTCATTTATTTCCTGGTGTCTGGGGTGATCATCTCCATTCCTGAACAAAATCCACACCTATCTGAAAGGAGAGCAAACCATACCTTTAAGATACACCACATTCCCAAAACTGAGAATACTGCGTAGTGCCACTCTATTCTAGATCATAATCCCTTGTTTTTTCCATTCACAGTTTTAAAAAAAAACTTAAAATGAACATTATATCTTTGGTAAAATATGTCTTTCAGAGACCTTCTTTCTATCTACCTAGCAGTTATTTTAATAAAATCAGTATTCCCCACCCCCAAGAAATGTATATAATTATCTTAGAACTATAGAGGAGGAAGGGGCCATATGGATCTTTGACTCCAGCCTCTGTCAGAAATGAACTCCCAACCTCTGATTCCATAGTCGGATACCTAAACCACTGTAGGGTGTCTAAGGACCATAAATTTATTTGAAGAAAACTCCATTTGATGAGGGGATTTGGCTTACTCATAGTCCATACCAGTGGTTCTCAACCCTGGGTAACTCAGGTATTCTTGGACTGCAATTCCCAGAGGTTTTCACCACCAGCTATGCTGGCTGGGGTTTCTGAGAATTGCAGGCCAAGAACATCTAGGTTACCAAAATTTGGCAAGCACTGATCTATACAAATAACCTTTCTTGTTGGCATCTGTTAATTGAAGGGATATTTCTGCTTTGTTGAATTCTGCCCTAGATCAGTTTGGAATCTGCCAACCTATGGCCCATTTCCAAGTAGACAGTATTGGATCTAAACATGTCAGAGCAGATTTTAGTCCTCTTGTGCTGCTCATAGTGAGGGATCTTTGGTGTATAATAACAATCAAAATTTGAATACTAGGAAATTTTCAATTCACTTAAATTAAGTATTATGTGTGCCAGATAATGACATTATCTGATTGGTACTATGCAACATTATGCAAGACAATTTTGCTCATTATGTGCTGACGGTACTGTCAAGTAATGTGACTTGGGTTATGGGGATGGCAATAAGGATAAAAAGGAGACCTCTTAAGTCCTTTTAACTTAGAACACATTTTCTTCTCTAATTTTCTTTCTTATGTGTGATTATTTTTCTTCCTTCCACTTTTATATCACCTGATTAGTGCACGCTCACATCATAAGCTCAGATTCATGACTTCTTACAGCAAAGAGTAAGAGAATCTAACTTTGCACCTTAAGCCATTTCACTGTACAGTACAGACCAATACAGTATCCCATTGCTCAGTGTAATAAGTTGCACTAAAACAGGCCCACCAAATCAGTGGGAATTTGGTGTGTCAACTCCTTCATAAATCCCACTGATTCAAATAGGCCTACTCTAGAGTACCATTTGAATCAAAGGAACCTACAGAGGAGTTGACTCACTAAATTCCTACTTATTCAATGCACCTATTCTAGTGAAACTTACTACAGAAAGCAACAGGATTTCATTCACCAAACCCTTCCCTTGGAGATCATCCAAAAATGTATTCGTTTCACACCAGCTACAATGTGGGCTAAGTTCAGTTGGTACAGTGGTGCCTCGCACAATGAGTGCCTCACACAACGATAAATTCACACAACGATGGCTTTTTCTGAAAAATTTGCCGCCTCACACAACGATGTTTCCTATGGGGAATTTTCGCACAACAATTTTGGGACCATGCTTCACAGAACGATTGCATTTTGGGTCCCCTGTTTCACTTAATGATGTTTTCAAAAAAGAGCGGGAAAGGTGGCTGTTTGGCAATGCTAATTTGTTCTTCTAACTGCCTGCACCCAGGATGCATTGCGCCTGTGCAGGGAAGGGATAAAAAACCTTCCCCATGCATCCTGGGTTTACTTTCCCACATGTAGTTCAAAGGTTGGCTTTGCCTATTTGCTCTGTCTTGTGGGTGCTTTCTGTGCTGGAGAACTTTCAAAGGTAAGCTTGCATTTCTTCTCCTGGGTGGGTGGTGGATTTTACAGTGTATCTGTACTGTATTGCAAAACTCTGATGATTTTTACAAGGGGGAATTTGGGTCTGTCTGGCTTTGGTTATGGGGTTTTTTTTCATTGGGGAAACTGCAGGGGTTTTTTTGGCTGGGGGTTTCTGTGGATTTGTGTGGGCTTTGAATGCCCAAGTTCAAACTTGATTTTAATTTTTTTTCCTGGAGATAATTTGCTGCCAGTTCTTTTCCTTGTGGTTTGATTTGTTGGGCATACGGTGGTGCCTCACACAACGATGTTGATTGGTTCAAAAAAAAAACGTTCTGTGAAAACATCGTTCTGTGAAACACCATTTCCCATAGAGATGCATTGAAAACCGGATAATCCATTCCAATTGGAACGGATTGCCGTCCTTAAGCGAAAATCCCCATAGGAAACATCGTTGTGTGAAACAATGTATCCACCATTCAAATGCATTGAGTAGGCTTCAAGGCATCTCAGTGGGGGAGAAAAAAATTCACCAAAAATTAACGAAGACTCAGAAACTGTTTTAAATGCTTGGACTCGTTAGTGCAGCTTGTGAAACCTTTGCAAACTTAATCTGGCTTTGTTCTGAGTCTTCGTTAATTTTTGGTGAATTTTTTTCTCCCCCACTGAGATGCCTTGAAGCCTACTCAATGCATTTGAATGGTGGATACATTGTTTCACACAACGATGTTTCCTATGGGGATTTTCGCTTAAGGACGGCAATCCGTTCCAATTGGAATGGATTATCCGGTTTTCAATGCATCTCTATGGGAAATGGTGTTTCACAGAACGATGTTTTCACAGAACGTTTTTTTTTTGAACCAATCAACATCGTTGTGTGAGGCACCACCGTATGCCCAACAAATCAAACCACAAGGAAAAGAACTGGCAGCAAATTATCTCACAAAGGATGAACTTAGATAGTTATAAAGTCCTTGGAAAATAGGACAGAAAGAATCAATTAGAAATATATGGAATTAAGAACTCACTGTACGTTTCTAGGTTTAGACCAAGCCATGCTTTGTGTCTCCTTCAAGCCCAGTCTCAGGCCATTCAGTGCACCAAATGCAGCTCCTATTAGAGAAGGACATCGTGATTCATTAGCTTCAACAAATAAGAACTTAACGCAGAGTGTAGAAACAAAAATGCAGTTTACAGAAAAAGATTCTACTAGCTTGCACGTTTCTACTGAACATATAAGAAATTCACTATATTGCTAGTTGTACTATTACAGTGGTGCCTCGCAAGACGAATGCCTCGCGGGACAAAAACCCGCAAGACAATTGGTTTTTGCGATCGCTATGGTGCCTCGCAAGACAGTCTCTTCTATGGCCATGCTTCGCAAGACTTTTTTTTAGACCGATGCCTTGCAAGACGAATAAATTCAATGTAATTCTGTAAGCCATGGTACTAAAGTCAGAAGCTGACTAACATTGGAAGTTAAGGACAAAATAAAGATTCAATGCTCCTTCCCAAAGTATCAAGCAGATTCTTCCTTTTTTGCTCATAGGAATAAGATTCTTGTGTTCATTATAGTACAGAAGTTATTCCAGAACATCCTTCAAAGCATGTTGTGGATATCACTCCACAACTGTAGCATAAGCTCTTGTGGTCCCTCTAGCACCATAGCACTGTTTTTTTTAATTTGGCAACAGAGTACTGTAATATGCAACTTTCTAGCATCTGCCAGCATATTGCATGCAGATTCACATAGTTTTCGTAACAGAAGTTATCTTCTTCCACAAATCGGTTACTTTGTTATAAATGAAGTATAAAAATAACTCTTTGGCAAACAAAGATATAAATTTTATTTGTATGATGTTCAGATGAACACAGATTTATGTATTTCAAATATTTAACAAAATGATACGATTGAAAGTGATCCCATACCTGTTATGCAACATCCTCCAATTGTAAAGAAGGCCAGCTCAAATCTACCCCTAGTTTTACTAGCTCCAGTGGGTAAAATGAATTCATCTGTGTCCTGAAACAGACATGTATGTCTCCATTAATATCTACTATCTTTTAGTTCAGTGGTTCTTAACCTTGGGTTACTCAGTTATTTTTGGACTGCAATTCCCAGAAGCCGTCACCACCAAATGTGCTGGCCGGGGTTTCTGGGAATTGTAGTTCAAAAACACCTGAGTAACCCAAGGTTAAGAACCACTGTTTTAGTTCATCCCCTGATAAGATGATTAACTGAAAAAAGATTAGTTAGTAAGACTGGAAAGGAAACAATTACAAGGAACCTAAATAACATATCCTATTGTACACATTCCAAATCAAATGAGAATCTAGAGCAGCTAAAGACAATTTTAACACAGCATTACAATAAGCCATAAACAAGTTGAGATGTGTGTATACAGTTCTTATATTTATAAAACGCAGTACTCTGCTGACAACACTTAAGTTGCCAAATGTTCTTAAAATAAAACAAATCACAGCAATGTATTTTGAATGCTTTTTGGAGACTAGTACTCTACTACATATAATAAAAATAATGCATAATGAACATTATGTATACTTCCAGACTAGTGCTGAACAGGCTATTAACTGCACAGCACACTCTCAGAGAAGCATAGTATTGTCCCATGTTGGTGTCAGCTGCTTCCAGAACGGAGACAATGACACAACAAAAATAGACAGTACCTTTATCTTCCAATGGTGTAACACTGTCACAGACATGGTAGTGGCACAGACAGCTGACCACCACTGGATTTTAACAAAAACATCCTCAGAATCACCAGCTGCCATATAAGGACTAGTTCATAGTTAATTTCATAAGAAAGCATCCTGTCTGCCTGTGCTAGCCTATGGAAGAGAGTGCTAGAGGCTGTTCGGATTGTGTATGAGTGCATATCATGACATGCTAACATAAATCAGAAACATTCCAAGATAGAAACTGCTAATTTGACCTTCTTTTTACAAACTTGTATAGCTGGGTGGGCGACTGAGCTACATGTGGTGGTGTCTCATTATGAGGCTAACCTATGAATGGTTGTTGTGGGTTTTTCGGGCTCTTTGGCCGTGTTCTGCAGGTTGTTCTTCCTAACGTTTCGCCAGTCTCCGTGGCCGGCATCTTCAGAGAACAGCACTCTGAACTTCCCCTGTGTTTCACTAAGTTACAGTAAACAGTTAATTCAGTACAGCCAGGATACCCTCTGAAATCTGCTTAACTGGTAGAGAAATCTTTTAACAGCTATCTAAAGAATAGAAAGGGACACACCTTTAAGGACAACTCAGGATTTCCTTTGCATACAAGATAAACTCATGAGGAGTGCAAACATACTAATCCCACTCTTTCTGTTCTTACTTATATTAAGTCTCTCATGCTTGAAGGCCAAGGAATCTGAAGGGGAGGGACTCTTGTGAGGCCCACATAAATTAGAACTTTGAAAAATCTGAATTCTAATTAATGTTGAAAGACCGGCAGATACCTAACACTCTCCTCATCTCCAGGAGACAAGAGAACTGGGGATAGAGTTACAGTGATCCTTACTCTTCTCATATGTAATCCACACAGTTCTACTGTCTAATAGGGCCTTGAAAGAAACAGTATACAGTGGTGCCTCGCTTTACCACTGCCCCATTTAATGACGAAACTGCATTACGACGAACTTTTTGCGATCGCAAAACAACCTTTCCTATGGGGGAATTTCGCTTTGCCATGATCGGTTCCCTGCTTCAGGAAACCGATTCTTCGCAAAACGACAATTTTCCAACAGCTGATTGGCAGTTTCAAAATGGCCACCGGGTAAGCAAAATGGCCCCCCGCTGTTTTCTGGGATGGATTCCTCGCTGCACAGGCAGCGAAAATGGCTGCCCTATGGAGGATCTTCGCTGGACAGTGAGTTTACAACCCTGTGGAACGCATTAAACGGGTTTTAATGCGTTTCAATGGGTTTTTTCTTTTCGCATTACGACGTTTGCATTCTACAATGATTTCACTGGAACGAATTAACGTCGTAATGCGAGGCACCACTGTAGCTTGAAATAAATGTATCGTAACTGCGTGACAAATGCATTTTATGTGATTTGCTTAACTTCCAGAAGATGGCCCCGTTCATCCTTGCCCCTTTCCCCATTCGTAGATAATCTCATTTTTTACAATTTATAGCCCTAATTATGCATGTTTCTAGTCTCCTTTCAACAAAACATTCATCAAATAGTTTATTCATAGCTTATACTCCAAGACATGAACTAATTTATCTAATAATCAGAACAAGGCTCATCTGATCCAACATCCTTCTATCTGTTTCGAGCAGCAAGTCACAAGTTTACCAGAAGCTTACAAGCAGAGTTTTAACTAGAAGAGATTGACTGAAATGATCAGGATTTATATTAGTGCTGATTAACAAGCCCCATTTATTGTAACTAGTATTAAAATCAAATTTAGCCCATAATATTTACATACAAGCTGAAATCCTGTTCATAGCAGAACCCCAAGTGTAACTATCCATCTATTCCTCCCTGGCAAACAATCACTGCTACTGCAATTCTCCGGGGGGGGGGGGAGATGCATCTGCTGCCCCCACCCCGAGAATCATTGCAATAGTAGCTTGCTTATCAAGAAGGAAGCGACAGAAAGTTATACTTAGTCTTACACTATGAACAGTATTTCAGCCACATATTCACAAGTGTTACAAAATTTTCAAGCAACTTAGTCATCAAGTACAAGTGTACATCAAACGATTAAAATAATGTTGGAAATCTCACCTGTATAAGATATTTAGGGTCCACATTTAAATATGGAGACAAAGGGTTCATTCCAGTCACTACAATGAGAAAGAGTTTTAAGACAAAAATAAATTTCTCCATCTAGGCCTGGAGACATGAAAGTCAACAACAGTTCAATACAGAGAAGAATGGAAACAAACAGAAGTTAAACAAAATTTATCTTAGCTTTGTGATGGGAATAGCTTAGTTTTTGTGCAGCAAAAAAGGAAACTTATTTTCCAAAACAGGCATATGGGTGGTGGGAGGGATACACTTAGGGACTACCTCCTCTATTAGTAGCTGAGTGGAATATTCCAAACATGTGGTACCCAGGGAAGCACTCTAACCTCACCTCAAGAACTATGCCTGGCAGACTTTTCTGTCATGAAATTTTGGGACATTCATTTGTAATTCTACCACACTCTCCACAAGACTTTGATGCATGCCTGAAGAAGTGCTTTTTAAAAAAACCACAAAAGCTAGTGCTGATTGTTCGATTTTAATAGATTAATAAAGTTTTTTAAAAGTTATCTTACATATGAATATAATACATCTGTCAAGCAATACCTACTTAAGAGTGATATACACCATTTGAACCATTTAATTTGGAACAAATTTGGCCAATATTAAAGAAAATTCCCATATTATAGGCACTTCAATCTAGACTGACCTAAGCCCAGATTTTTTAAAAAATATACTTTTACATTTGCTGTTTAAATGCTCTATATTTTTTTTAAGAAAAAGTTTTACACAATTATAATTTTAATTTAGAAAGTACTGTAACCCAAACAACTCATTACAGAACGTGGATTCCAAATTTGGCTTCTATGTAATGAGATAATGTAATCGCATGACCTACAGTATTTACAAAAATTTTTATAAATAAGGTCTAATCATCCCGAGAGTGGGGCCTCTATAGTTTTCTGTATCGACTATTACGGCTTATCTTTCTTCCCAAAGAATTCTTTTTTTAAAATTAACAATTCTCAAATGGAGTTCTCAAATACACTTTTTATTAGCAGCCACTAGAGACCGCGTGACGAGGGTTTTTTTCCACTAAGCTCCCAACCAGCCATGACCTTGGAAATCCTCCTGGAAAAAGAGTCGGGCCATCCCAACAGGAGTCTCTCACGACGGCCAGCCGTTTGTTTTACCTGCCAACTTGGAAGAGGAAAAGGGGGAAAGAGAAGCACACGAGTGAAGAAGGCCTGAAAGAGAGAGAGAGACCGAGAGCTCCCGGCGCCTCGTACTCACAAGGGACGCCCGCCAGGTCTGCGTGGGAATATCCCGGCCCTCCGGCGCCGAAGAGGCCTCCCAGGCCGGAGCTCTTCGTGTTCCCGGCGCCCCCCTCCATAGAGGCCAACCTCTAAGGGGGGGAGGCTTCTCCCCCTCAGCCGCGCGAGCTGCCCTTGCCTCGCTCTCGCCTACCTCGAGGCCAGAACGGAAAAGGCGCAACCGACGACCTCTTGCCGTAAAGCAACGGCCCTCCCACCACGCGGGGCCTCTAGGAAGCGGCACGACGGCCTCTTTCCCCTCCTCCTCCTCCCCGCCCCTCTTGTTCCGCTTTACGACGGAAGCCGCCGCCGGTTCGCCACCGCCTCGCTTTCCGGCCTGGCAGGGAAACGAGGATGAGGAAGAAGGGGGCGGGGGTGGTGGCAAAGTCTGGCCCGGGCGGTTTGTTCGGGAGGTTGCGGGGTTGAGGGAGAGGCTGTGTCGCGTCACCGGCGGCGGCCGCTCCCTTTACGCGGGCGGGTCTCGGCCCCGTCGCCACACCTTCTCAGGAGCGGTCGCGTTTCCCCCGTAGGGTGAAGGCGCAGGGCCAGGGCCGTTCTCTTCCGCAGGAGGATGTGGAAGGGAAGATTTCCCGCCCCCTTTTCTTCTTGGGGAGCCCTTTCGGGTCGTGTTTTCCCCGGGTGGTGACCCGGGCCTACGCTACCTGCTTCGCTCACCCAAGGCAGCGGAGGGTGGGCGGGTGAGGCAAGGACGAAGCGGGAGGGAGGGCCTGGCGGGGTTTCTCACCAGCATGAATGCGGGGTCTGAGTGTGAAACCTCCAGGAAAAGAATTAGGCTGGACAGTTTCTTCCCTCCTTCCTCAAAGATTGAGACAGTCAACAGTAATAGTAGTAGTAGTAGCAGCTCAGAGGAAGGACAGGCCCCTTCCTGGAAGAGAAAAGTGACGCTGCAAGAACAGCCTCCCCCTCTTTCTGCTCCCCACGACAGGGAGCAAGAGTCCAGAAGCAGCAGCAGCAGCAAAGGCAGCCCTCCAGTCACGGTGGGGAACAAAGGTGCGTGCCCACACCCTTCTCCCTTCAGCTTTCTCTGAAACATGAATAATGTCCTTCCTTGGCTTGGATTTTTTGGGTGTTTTCTACTTCTGCCTTCTTTGTTACTGGGAGGATGTCACCTTGCCCTTATGCTTCATCAAAATCATGAGTATTAAATTTTTTTGTTCCTGCATGCTGTTAGAGAGTATTGTGATTCACTCACTGTGGGTATTTGGTCAGTTTTTAACATTTGCAGGCGGTGGCTTCTATAGAAGTTCGAATAAGAAATTTTCGAGTAAAGAGGGAGGGGTAGGATTGGGTTGTGGAATGGACAGCGCCAGGATGACTGCTGTTATTGGTGTGCTGTAAATGTAACCATTTGTTGAAACTGGAACATTTTGTGGTGAGATAATAAAGTTTGAATCTTTTTATCATGCTGCCTTGATAGAAATTGGAGAACAATTTATCTGTCTTTGCAAAATTATTGTTTTTATGATAGGGGGATTCTGTGTAGGGGGAAATGGTGACAGAAACTGCCAGTTCTTCATTGCAAGACATCATGATATGCCTAAAGGGAAAGTCATGGCATGCAGGAAAATTGTTGTTGTTGTTGTTTAGTCGTTAAGTCGTGTCTGACTCTTCGTGACCCCATGAACCAGAGCACGCCAGGCCCTCCTGACTTCCACTGCCTCCCGGAATTTGGTCAAAGGAATATTTTTGGTGTCATGTATATTTGACAACATCTACCTGGAGACCAATTGATAATGTTGGATCAGTCACTTGATTAATGCTACATTTTGGGTACTGACTATAGTTTACAGGACTTAATACTGTGTTAATGGATTTACTTTGACCAGAACCTGAAATCCAGTTCTGAAGATATAAATATGTATATGCAAATGCTATCTGTTTTGATTCATTCTTAATTTGTTACAAATCACACTCATTTGCTTCAAGCCATTTTATAGTCTGTCCAATTCAATTAGTACTTGGATATTGTGAATTATTTATATGTATGTATATTTGTTCAAATAATGAAAATCGGGAAAGTAAAAGTCTCTCACCTGGGATGTGGATCCAACACTCATTGCTATCAACTATTGCTTGACCTCCAGTGTAGAAGCAAAGCTACTACTAGTTTCCTTTTTTCCTCCCTCTGTCCTGCCTTCCTTCCTCTCCCTTCCCTGCCAATTAGATTTTCTTAATTTACTTAACAAAAACATTTGCTGGAGAGAGAAGGAATGCTCCTCTCCTGTAACTGCTGTTCCATTGAGGAAAGTACCAGATCACTGCCTTGTGTGTCATATTTGCATTCACCCTGTTTGGAACATAGGCAGTGTGGCGTTGACCCTCCTGCCCCTTGCTTGACCGTTATGCCTCACAGTACACGAAAGCAAACCATCCCCTCTTTTCACTGCTGCCACCAGGTGATTATTAAATCACCATTACCACAGAAAGATTCAGGTCCACACTTCAAGGTCTTTTAAATTGAACTTAGGTTTATTGATTATAGAGATTGATTTATGAATGTCTTCAGTAGCTAATCACACCTCAGAAAAATTCCCCAAACTCCACCCTCTATCTACTTCTCCCTCTTCTCATTGTTCACTCTCTGCTACTCTCACTCTTACTAACTCTATCTGACTCTTGCTCTCTTATAGCATCTCTCTCGGCTCGGCCTCTCAGCAACATAAATATGCATGAACCATTACCTTACATAACAAACATGAACCATTACATAAATATGAACCATAGACCTAATAAATGGGGAATGCTACAGGCAGGTACAGAAAAAGGAAAAGACAAGAGTGCTGCTAAAGTAAAAGCAAGTAGCTGGAATTTTAAAAAGTGAACAAAATGGTGGCCGTAGATAGCTTAGGTTCTGTTTCTTTTGCTACTGTGACCTCCCCCTCTCAAAGCACGCACAAGAAACCCAAGACAACCATGGGACATTCACACACACAGGTACTTGGTTGATTGGATTCTAAAGTGTATTGCAGAACAAGATCTGCAGGTACTTAAAAGAAAGGATAACAATTCTTCAATGCAGATCTATTCTACTGAAAATAAAAATGAAATATATAATAGTCTCTAGCAGACTAACACCTTTTCTTTGTAACTATGGTATGGGGACAGGGGGATTTATCCGGTTGAACTGAGCCCTTTCAGGGGGGCTGTGATTTTCATTTCCAGGGGACCTTGGACTTTTCATAAATGCTTGAATGAAATTTCTGCTTTAGGTTTCCTGGTTCTGTTAAAATACTGCTTTTATTTTAGAAATGAGATTGGCTGGCGCCAAAGTTTTTGAAGAAAAATATTTAGTTTTTTAAACTTCCAAAGCACTGGAGCAATATTCAGTGCTTTGGAGAGCAAGGATTCAATTTGAGATCTGCTTCAGGCTTCCTTAATTTGCTTCCAATGGGTTCAAAAATGGACAAGTATCTCCATGTTCTTTGTTCTCCATATAAATTTGGAAGCCAAAGCACATCCCTAGTAATTATGTAAATGCTGGGTAGACTAAAATTTGTTAAAAGATAATTGTTTGATCAATTACTGATGAAAAGACCAGTTAAATAATACCATATTAATTAAAATTATAAATGCATATTTTCAGTGTAAGAGCAGAGGCAAAAGCAACATTTTGCTTACAAAATAAGATAAAGTCTGTTTTGCAGCACAAGGTAAAGTCTGTTTTATAGCAGAAGGGGAAGAATGCTCACTGAGAAATAAACTGTCCTGATTTCACTAGGGCATAGGTCAGGGAACAGGGGTAAATTACCCCAAATGGGGTAAAA